ACCTAGTATATGCCTTGCATTATAGACATTGATACGAAGGCGTTTCTAGAGCTTAAGTCATGCAATTTGTATAATTACTATGCTTCAGTAGTATAATAAATAATTGCAGTTGACTCCCGATAGTAGGCAGCCACAGGTTCCTAGAGAACCTTATGGAGAAAATATAATATTTTTTTTGAGACAGATTGGGTTTTTAATTATTAAATTCATTGTGATTAAACAATTCATAAACATTACTATTTTAAGAGATAGAGAAGGAGTAGGTGGGTAGGTTGTGATAACGTGTGTGTGTGTGTGTGTGTGTGTGTGTGTGTGTGTGTGTGTGTGTGTGTGTGTGTGTGTGTGTGTGTGTGTGTGTACAAGTTGATTATTATATATGGGTTTAATGTTCTGTGTCGTTGACAGTTTACTCGCCAAGTAAAGTTTGCAAAGTCAAAAAGCATCAGCCATTTTCTGTAATGAATTTTTTTTGTCATATTTCTGAAATTGTTTTAGTTTGCTTTAACTTTAATATCATTTTGACGTCCATTTACTAGCCTCATGTTGTGCTGTATTATGCGTCTGTGGGTATACAGTAGCTGGTGTTGGGCTTAAAGCCTATCTAACTTTGGAAGGATATTTAGGGCAGGACACTAGCTTATTGAGTAACCAGAAATTATACTTTATTCCTGAATATAGTCCAGGACTATAATACTCTCTCATTATAGACATTGACAACCGGAGCGCCCATTCAATAAAAGTGACTTTATAATATAATAAAATATGTACAGTATGTCTTTAGACTGCTGTGTGTTAAAATGGTTTTCTGAATTTAAAAAATAGGTGTGCGTGTGTCTGTAGGGGGGGGGAGGTTGCGATCTGAAATCAACTGTGTACTTGTGTTCTGATTTTATCTTGAGTGATTGTCCTGTTAGTAATGTAAACTATTTAAATATATATTTTTTAATATCAGTGTCGAAACACAATTTGCACTATTATAAGTATGCAGCTTTTATTAAATTTTATCAACTATGGATATTTTTTAAATATTAATAATGTAGCATAGATTCACATTAGCATTGATTAGTCCTTCGAGTGTGGCACAAAATGTGCCTCGCAATGTATAAAATCATGACAACTTTTTTAATGCGACATTAAAACCTGGGTGTAAAAGATTATATTATCGGGAGTCTGGTGTAATTTATTTGCTGTACCGTGTACCTTCATACTGAGCTTCAACCCATAGGTTCTAGAGATGCAAATTCCAGCCTACCTCAGATTCCCAGTCACATAGCCCACCCTCGTGCTGTAGTTACTATTACTGAATTTACTCGCTTGCATTCTAGCACTTTTAATGGAGGTGCAATGACGTCCAACTTACGCTTCGCGTGAACCAACACAATCATGCCAAAGCCGGGCTGGAGTGACAAACTGGAGAGGCTTACCCTCGCTGACAAGCACCATGTAAACACACTCATGACTTGGTCCCTTCAGCTTTTGTATCCGCTTCCATCACTCTTCAGACCGTTTTCTTTCATGTTTCACAACTTGCTTACACTTCAGACACCCTTAATTAATATACCGAATTTAATCTCGGTATAATAAAATGTGGATTATTAGCTTGGTGAGGGTGCGGGCGGGTCGGGGAAGGGTGGTGTGGCCCTGGGAGGGAGTGTTACGGTAGTCCAACATTTCAGTGCGAGTAACTGTAGTTTAATCCGTCAAGAGTATCATCCTGCACTTGTACAAAGCTAATATGTGACTTGTACGGGACGCGTGTTCTGATGATCCTGTTGGAGCTATATAACCCGTATTCCGTCAACGTTTCCCTAGCTAAGGACGAAGATATCGCCATTCGCTCTCATACAGGTACACTAATTGGGTGCTTAACCTGTCGCCTTTTCATGTC